CATCTTCAGAAATATTTTCCAATAATGTTGATGAAGATAATGATGAAAAATGAGGTGGAGCATTCGAAGTAAATAAAGATATTAATTCTGCTTCACGAAGTTGAGTTAACGTCCATTTATCATAAATTGCTTGATGTAATAAGGTAACGGCAAAGCAATCATAAATTGCATAATTAATTCGTTTACGCCGTTCAGATGATGATAATGGTGAATAGTTTGGATCTAACATAATACTCCAATTTTTCTTTGTTGATGATTTATCGAGAAAACGATTAACAGTATAACGGATCGCATTTTGTAATGACCACTTGTCTGTTGATTTAACATAAGGGAAATTGCTTGTACAAATGCATCGAGATTTTGAAGACATGGCCTTGTTCGAGGATTGAATCGAGCCACATGCCTCGCAAGGAGGCAGTGCCCTTCGATACCAACCAGGAAATTCATCTTGCAAATTAATACATAATGCTGACACTGGCCATGTAAATAAATTCATTTGAATAGCAGATTTTAATTCATCAGACATCGATCCCCAAGAAAAAATAATATTTCCTAAACGAAATAAAAGACTAAATAATAATTTAATTTTACCCATTAATGATGAATCTGATGGAGGTAGATGGTTAATTTCAAATAATACAATAAATGATGGTAAATGTTGAGGAATCGAATGAACTTGAATAAGAGATAAATCATATGTAAACCGATCTGATTCTGTATCAATTGAATATCTATAACATGATTCGAAATGATTAATTAATGTTGAAATAGTATCATTGGTAGTAAATTGATGAACATGTACAATATTGTAATACGATGATGGAATAGTAAATGGAAGATAATTACGTCGATAATCATGATTTTGTTCTTCTAAACGAATATTACGACAATGGCGACTTTGTGCTTTACTACTTGAACCACGTGACGATTCCATTCGATTACGACTAGATGAGTGAGAACGAAAGGACATAACAGTACATACACAAACAACAGAAAGGAAAGAAAATCAATGATAACAAATAAAGTTATATGACAATGTGTATCACTATCAAAAAGAAGTGGGGGAAAAGATGAAAGAACAGAAAGGAAAAGGTAAATTCAAATCAACAGAATCGTCTTATAGCTAAGAATAAATAGAAAAGAAAAAAAAATACAGAAATAGATAGAGGGCGCAAGGTATAACATGAACAACACAAATAAACGTACAATAAGAAAAAAAAGAATGTAAATCAATAACTATAGGTTAAAATAAAATTGTTTTATGATAATAATATCGGACGTATATCATTCACATGTACACGAGTAATTTGATCATTTAATTGATCTCGAACGTAATAAGTTGGATGTTGCTTTTGAATAATAATTTTTGGAGTCAATGAGTAGCGTGGATCTAATTTTGATCTTGAACCATGAATTCTAATCAAAACTTTATCATTAATTTCATATTGTGGATTGCTTCGATTTTTATCATAATATTTTTTATTGATCATATGAGAATAAATTGATTGTTTTTGAGCATTTTGTTGGATAATTTTAAGACTTTTCTTTAATTGATTGTAATAATCTGATGGCTTGTAAAAAACATAATTTGATGTTGTATCTGTAGGCATACGTGCATCACGACCAAATTGTAATTGAAATGGAGAATGTTGAGTAGCTGCATGGATACCTGTATTGTATGCAAATACCACTGATTGTAAATATTCATCCCAATTGTTGTTCTCACGATCATGAAGTTTAGCCAATTGGGGCACAAAAGTTGCATTAAAACGTTCAACCATTCCATTACTTTGTGGATGGTAAACAGTAGATAATATATGATTATATCCAATTAATTGAGCCATTGATTCCATTAATTGATTGTTGAAATGTGTGCCTTGATCAGTTAAAATTGATACTGGCACACCATATCGACAGATATATTCATTAAAAATTGTTTGAGCCGTTGTCTGAGCAGTACAGTCAGGTAAAGCAATGGCAGTGATCCATCGAGTAAAATAATCAGTGATGCATAACACATATTGATTTTCTCTTGGTGTACGTTTAAATGGTCCACAGTAATCAATACCAATCAGCTGAAAAGGTCCACTTGGTGTTTCAATTGGACAAAGTAAACCAGGTTTTTTTAATCGACTAACGTTGTACTGTTGGCATGGTAAACAAGACTTGATAAATCGAGTAATAGATGATTTCATATCCGGCCACCAATATTTATTCTTTAATTTGTAATATGTACGTCGTATTCCAAAATGTCCAGCTAATGGATCTGAATGATAAGCCTTGAGAAGCGAATTAATCATAGATGCAGGTATATAAATTAATTTAATTTTTGTAATACTTCGTAAATTCGTCGGCATCAATTTATACAATAATCCTTCGTGCAAAACAAATGAACCACGTGTAGGATTTTGTTGAATTTCTTTAACCTTTTCCTGAATAACAGGATCTTTTGCTTGTTCCAATTTAACTTGTTTTATATCAAATTGATTACAAATATATAAATTAACTTGTGATTGAGATGATAAATCCTTGAATTGTTCTAATGAA